TTGTCTTTTTGAGGCAGGGTCTCGCTATGCAGTTCAGGCTGGCCTTGAGCTCACTTTGTAGCCCAGGCTGGTCTCAAACTTGCAACGATCCTCCTGCCTCAGCCTCCCGAGTGCTGGGATTACAGGCATGCACCACCACACCTGGCTAGGGTTCCATTAATTATTGCTCGTGTGACCTTTTCCAAGTTTTACAAAAGTTATCCAAGTTCCAGCTTCTTCATCTGTAAAATGCTGAATCACAAGATTTAAAAATAAAATAATAGCTTAGAATCTTCCTCGTTCGCAACATACCAAGTCCAGTGCTCCATGTCCCTTCCACACGGCCTCATTCTGACCAGCAGAGTCCTGGCACAGCTCCTCCCAAGAAGCAGCACTCATTTAATGATTGCTCCATCACTGCTGTGGTCAATAACAACACTGGAACAAAGTTAGTAATAACAGCCAGTGCTGGGACAATGCTACTCTTTTTGGAAGGGGGTTTATGAGAGATTCCTTTCATCCACACTTTGTGTGTTCTCACCTAAGCTTTGAGACAGTACAGTACATGGAGAGTACCATGTGGCTGTGTGTCTCATGCATGCCCAAGAGATCTATATGTCATTGCTGACTTTTCTCTGCTCCTTGAAATTTCACTAACTTACCCTATTTTTGTGTTTGTCTCTCTTTGTACAATAGGCATTGAGAAAAAAAGCCACTTACGTGATCTGTCTGACTCAAAAGCATAATTCTCCTCTCCAAATTTCTTCACACTGCGAAGAATTACTGAGTCAGACATGGTAATTGCAATCTGCAGTCAACAACCCTACAAAATGAAATAAAAGATTTATTGCAATTATTGCCTTTTCTATTCTCTTTAACCGAAGTAGCCAAATTAAAGAACATTTTGGTTCAAGAAATAAGCTTCACTAATCAGTGGCAAGCGAAAGTAGGTTTTAATTGGCTAGTAACTCAAAGAAAGAGCCTAATTATTAGGAAAGATAGACAGAAACCATTAGCAATGGATTTCTCTAGTTGGTAGATGGACAACTGTTTTATAGTCATTTGATCTTCCTGCTCATTTGTGCTTTATTTATTTTTAATGAGTTTGCACAAAAACCATAAAAACACAAACCAAATGGTGATATTCTTGAGTCCAAGAAATTGATGAAAGACATTCACATGCTATTACATAGCATCTAATGCTCCTTTGAAAACACAGCCCAACGTAAAAAGTGTTCCCTAGAACCAAGGAAGCAGATGAAGAGCATTCCGAATAAAATGTGAATGTCTGCCAAGTGATGGTTATTATTCACAGAGGAAAATAATCAATCTGTAAAGGAAAAATTTCAGGATAATTCCAGGACTTCAGAGTTAGCACAGAGTTTCTGCTTTACTAACTTTCTCTGCTTCAAATAAACAGCAATGAAGGATAACAGGTTTTATTGTTTCTTTTGAGGAGAAAATGCAATCAGACCCAAGTCAATGCTTCTCTGTGAAGCAGAAATGGAAGAGAAGTATTAGGGCAAGCAGAGCACAGGAGAAGCTGCTGTTTTTACCCCAGGTGTGGAATCGGAGAGGGATGTGAGAATTCAGCCCCTGCAAGGACCGAGTGCCCCATGCTGGGGGGGACAGGGGACCCCCTCAATCCTTGGAGCCTGAGGCTACTAGAAAAGCTCCTGACTTCCCCCAAATGGAATCTTAAAAGTGGGAAATAGAGAATGATAAAGATATAATAACTAAAGAAATAATTGCTAGGAATTTTCAACCTGATTCCTCAAGTTAATAGTAAGCTCCAAGAACTGATCAGATAATGCAAATCATTCAAAACTAGATACATTATACTGAAATATTAAAGCATCAAGGATAAATAAGATACAAGTTAAAAACTATGAAAGGAGAAAATATATTATCCAAATGTAAGCAGCAGATTGTTAGCAGCTTTCTCGTCAACAACAGACACTAGAAGGGCCCAGGCATGGTGCTGCTTGCTTGTGAGCCCAGCACTCAGGTGGCTGAGGCAGAAGGATTTCAGCAAGTTTGAGGTCAGCCTGGGCCACAGGTAGTGAGGTCAAGACCAGCACAGCAGACTGTCTCAAAAAAGAAAAGAAAAAAAAGATTCTAAAGGGCAGCAGAATGCCATCTTCAAAATATTGAAGAAAAGTAATGTTTAACCTAGAATTTTCTGATGGGCCAAATAATCCGAGAGGGTTTGCACTTACAGGCCTGAGCAAAACCACTCCAGAGGATGTGCCTTAGCAAGAAGAAAAAGGCATCCAGAAGGGAGTCCCAAGAAACACAAGTGGCCACGGAAATTAATGAAATATATCCAGGCACTCCATCAAATAGTCTTAAATTTCGCCTTTTGTATTTCAAAACGACAAAACTAAAACTCCTTAAATAATAAGATAGTGACCAGTATGTAGACAAGGCATGTTAAGCTCATCATGAAAATCTATGAACATTACTTAAAATTTATAATTAAATGTATTGTAAAATAAATGAAATTGCAAATATTTTTACTTACAAAACTGATGTTGAACTTAGTTCAACTAATATATTAAAATTTTAAAAGTACCAGTGCAATAACAGCTTCTAGATAACAAAAGATTAAAAACTGAGAGCATAAAAAACTTCATCAGCCCAACAAAATTCAAGAAAAAGGAGACTAAGAAAAAGCATAATAGAAAGAAAAAATAAATGAAGATAGTACACAAAAGAGCAAATATTTCTGTAATTATGGTAAATTACAGAGAGGGAATTGATATAAACTGCATGGATGAATCTCAAAATAATGCTAAGTGAAAGAACAGTCACAAAAGCCAAATATTATATGACCCAATCTATGTGTAAAAAATGTCTTGGATGGCAACCTAGAAGAACAGAAAGGAAGTGGTTGCCCTGACCTGGGGTAGAAATAGAAAAGCCATGAGGAGTGACTGAAAACAGATACACGGTTTCTTTAAGAATGGTGAGAATGCTCCACAATTGGATTATGGGGATTGTCTGTACAGCTCTATTAATACGTATACTAGAAACTACTGCAGTGTACACTACTGACAAGTGAATGTCATGTTATATAAGTTATACTCCTAATAAGCAGTTAAAAATATAGATCATTTCACTGAATTTTTTAAAATCCACGTATATCCTGATTATAAAAGACAACATAAAATCCTAAAGAATGTTTGAAAATAAAGTTATGTAAAGGATATATCATGAAAATATATACCTGAAAGCTGCTATGTTAGTAGCACAAAAATAAATGAAACCATGTTCAGAGCAGTAACACAGATCAAGGGTAAGATATGATTGAAGATACAATCCAGCAAGAAGACAAGCTCATTTTTGGGTTGTGTATACCTAGCAAGCTGCAACAACATAGCCTGCAATTGCAATCAGAGATTTGAACACATCTTTATTGGAAACTGATGTCAAACAAACAAAATATTAGAAGGTATAAAAGTTTGAAAAAGCTTTTATCTAATATCAGTATATGAGATTGTAGCTGAGAAAAACTTTTCTTAAATTACATTTGGCATACTTAAAAAACTTGACCATGAATAAACCAACATAAATTTCTGTATATAACTACATATTTTATAAATGTTATTCTTTCTAAAGATCATATATTCTGCTATCAATTCAATTAAATAAGAAATAAAGATTAATGCCGGACATGGTGGCACACAGCTTTAATACTAGAACTCATGAGACCAAGACAGAAAGATTATGAATTCAAGACCAGCCTGGGTTATCTTAAAAACAAGAACAAAAATAGATCGGACACTAGTAAAATACACACACATATATGTAGTCAGTAAGAGTACATGTGTATTATAAACTTTAAAATATAAATGTAAGTAATTATGTGTTTAAAAGGAAATCACTGCAATAATTAGAAAATATCTGAAACATAATGATAAAAATTCAAAATCCTGTTGGATGTAGCTAAAATGATACTCAAGATTTATTTATAAATACAAATGCAATTTATTTTTTAAGATATTGATAAATGAAAGGCATTCTCAGAAAGGTTTTATAAAGCAGATACAGGACCTAGGGATGAGGTTTAGTGGTAGTGTTTGCCTAGCATGCAGGAGGCCCTGGGCCTAAAGCTCAACACTATAAAAAAAAGGCAGGTGGAGGGAATAATAGGATTAACTGGGTAAGAAATAAAATAAACTAAAAACAGTAGAAAGGATAGCCCAATTCAAAAGCTGATTCTTGAAATAACTAAAAATTAGGAAAAACTCAGTAAGAATATTCAAGGAAACAAATATAAATCACAAATAAACACTAATGGAAAATGAAAGGGTCTACCTTTATAACAATGTTTCAAAATCATAAGCACATGCTGGGAATAACTTTATGGTGGTAATTTTGAAAACCAGCATAAGATTAATTTTCTGGAAAAATATCAATTATCAAAATTTATTTGAAAAAGAATAGAAGAAATAAACACTAATGGCTATTAAGGATATTTACTCATTATTAGATCTGCAAATAGTAGAATCAAATAGTATTATGGGCCAATTTTACCAAAAACTTCAAAGTGTAGGTAATGCTAATCTTTTATGAATCATTCCATTGAAGACAAAAATAGAAAAAGCTACACAGTTCATTTTATAAAATAAGTTTAATTTTGACATCAGAACAAGGACATTATAAGAAAAAATAGGTTTCTAATTACTTTTGAAAACTGATTTCAAAATCTTAAAAAAGATATATTTAATATAATTTAGCAGTTTATGAAAAATAATGAAGCATTGTTTGTGTTGTAATACAATGATTATCAGATAAAAATTTGATCATTTTAATAGATGTGGAAAATGTATTGAATAAAAAGTAGTATGCATGCACGATTTCTGAAAACCTACGAAATTAGAAAAATCATTATTTTGCAACCCCAGGGAGTAAATCTTGGATCATGATTGTCAATACTGAATCCATTCACCAAAATACTGGCACAGATGAAATATCCCGTAGTGTCAAGTATCGGGAAGACGGAAAGACAGAGCACTGTTTAGCTTGAACAGCCAAGGAGAAGACAAGTTGATTGAATGACTCTAGAAAGAAATTTGGAAATATCCAGCATAGCTGCAAATGTAAATAACTGAAGTTTCACAGTCTCCTATTTTAGGACTTTCCCTAAGAATCTGAAAACAGCTAACACTGCAACAGTGTTTCCTGTGTGCAAGACCTTAGTCTACACTAGCGGTGGCGAACCTATGGCACTCATGCCGCAGCAGGCACGCAGAGCCCCGCTCTGGTCGCACGCAAGCCAAATGTATGAGTTGTTTTTTTTTTTCCCTAAACGAAAACCTCAGTATCGAGATTTAATTGCATTGTTGGCACTTTGTGATAAATAAGTGGGTTTGGGGTTGCAGTTTGGGTAGTGGTCTCTAAAAGGTTCGCCATCACTGCTGTAAATGCCCTATTCATGTTAGGCCTTTAGAGCCCCACAATCACCACCTAAGGTGAAAATGATGACCATTCCTGTTTTTCGAACAAGTGTATTTTCACTGGCGTGCAAATATTTGGCGGTATCTACAGGCCAACAAGGGTGGTGTCTTGCACATGAACCTTAGAGCCTCACAGATCCTGAAACTTCTTGTTGCCTCACTCTACATTGAATTCTTTCTTTTTATTAAACTTCCCCAGAGATCCTGATTTCTCCATCTTTTGTGTCACAGAGTGGTAAAATCCACTTTCCAGGATTAGTGTGAAAACGAAACTGTCTATACAGCAGCTGGCACAAAGAAAGAAAGCAGCTAAAGTTCCCTTGGCCCCGTGCACTTAGAGACCCGGCTGCTCAGCCCTTCCTCCATCGCCTCCTCTTTGGGTCTTTGTAGTGAGCTGCTCTAGGAAGCCAGGGAGACCATCCACCACCTTCATCGTCACTTCCTCTCTCTGTGCTTTCAGCAATTCCCCACATTAGGTTTCACTTGCTGTGTTTCACTTCTTGCTGAGGACCTTTACAAATATTTCTCATGTCTACTTTACTGTTAAGAAGTATTCTTAAAGACAGAACATTGTGCGAAGCATGAGTTTCTGTGCTCATTGTACTGTCAGTGCCCCTCAGCCAAACACCAGTAGGACACTGCTTGGTTAAACAAACTGAGTATATTACTCCTTGCAGGAAGGAAGACCACAGTATTGGGTGGACCATGGGCGGTGCGGTTGGTGTTGGAAAGAACCTATTACAGGATCCGGGCTTCAATGAGGCAGTCTGAGGAACGATCTAAGGAACTGAGAGCTTGCTTCAGATTAAAGGCTCTTAAAAAGATGGACAATTTGATTAAATCATTTGTAAGAAAAGTGGATACACCTTGAATAAGGCTAAGTGAAATAAATCAGATATACAAGCTTAAATACCATATGATTTCTCTCATATGAGCAATACAAAGTACAAATAAAGAGCAAAATAAAAGACTGATAAGAGGAATCAGGGAGACAGATCTTTCACAAATGGGAAAAGGCCCAAGAGACAAGAAGTGAGGAGAGGAGGGGGGGGAGGGGACATAAAGATGCAAGATGGGTCACGAACGTGTACCAGATACCCACAGTGAAAGTAATCATGGTATGTCGTAAACACGAACTAAAAATCATAGCAATAACAATGAAAATGGGGAAAGGGGACCTAGAAATGGAGGGAGGGAGGTGAATGGGGAGAGAAAAGGGAATAAAAAGAATCGAGACATGCTAAGTACATGTGCAGGCTCCCTAAATTGAATGTAAACTTCATGTACTTCAAATATATACTAATAAAATAGAAAAAGAAATAACAATCATTCACACTTGGTATTTTGTGGATTTGGATTCTTTTTTCTGCACTTAAAAATTATGAACTGGCCTTACGGTGTTTCGTTCTATCATTTCTTAGAGTAATGTTGTTTGAGACTGGTACACTATGAGCTTGTTTAATTCTAACAGGAGAATAACATGGGTAGCTTTGAGTGCCAGACCAGCTATGGCTGTCGGACTGCATTTTATTTGTTGGTTTTCTTTCTCTGAACTTTGTAGCGCTATTCCATTCCAACATACCAGCGAGCCAGCTCTATGATGTTTGTGTACTCCTGTGCTACCAGCGAGCACCAGTGGCCCAGGCAAATGTAGAGGCCAGTGGCCTTATCTCTGGAGAGGCCGGCCATTGCAATGGGGAATTTTGAAGGTCATTGGGTCAAAAATGTTAATTAGCTGTATGCCACAATGACAGTTTGAGGGATTGGTATGAAATACCAAAATTATTAGAAACAATAAATGAATATTTTTGCTTGTGATTTTTATCCAGCACAGGCAATGTCTTCAGAAATATATGTTAGATGAATTGCCTCATATCATTATAAATGCACAAGGAAACTCTGACATATCATTAGGCCATGTTTTAACCCACCGCATTATTTCATTTTTATTCAGTGAGATCCTAGAAAATTTAAATAGCAGCTGCTGGAGAATATCTCTGCTGGTCCCTAAAATCCTGGAAACATAGTGGAAATCTAATTTTCAGTGATAAACAGATTTGTTTTATGGGAATGTGTCTCCTCTTTGCTTGATATTTTCTATAATTTAAGAGTGCCGTGATATTTTGTTACATTATTTTCCTTATCAGTATATGCAGTTGTAATATCTTTTAATGCTATTCTCTCAGCTACTATCCATAACTTTATAAAAACTTGCTAACAATTTAATCTGTGTTTCCTCCATTGCAAGAAGCTATCATTAAAATTTCATAATAATTTACAATAACAAAATTTCACGAACACAAGCAAACCCAGAGCTGAAAATAAGATTTAATGTTATTTCTTTTTCATCTGCATTTTTACATATTAAATGACTTTAACTTCTCCCAAATCTCTTAAGAACAGGTTTCTAAGGTCTTTCAGAAGAAAAATTCGATCTTCCAATAAACTTCAAGAAATCTAGGAAATCAAAGGAAAATTGAGACTTTTAAATGCTGGTTGGCTGACTTTGGTCACTCGTCAAAGACTCTCCCCCGAATCCTTAATTGCCTATGCAAATACTAGTGTGCCTCTCTGCTAAATGACACGTGACCTATAACCTGCCCACCACACGTGCTTCGTCTCCCTATCCGGGGTTGAAGTTTTCCTTTGATAAAGCGTGTAATCTTATCAACATGGAATACACATTCTTTGGAGCACGGTCGCCTGACCATTAGACAAATCAATGATTTTCCTACCTTAGAACATTAGCCACAGCCTTTTCAAAAATCACTGCCCAGCAGGAGAGAGAAAGTGCAGAGACAAGCATCTGGATGGGTCACCTGAGAGGACCTGGCACACTGACAGCCTCCAGAAAGGAATCGGAATAGGCAGCAGCACTGGGGTTGAGGGAGTCAAAGGTGGAGGAGACGTAGGGTCCTAGAAGACATGCCAGGTGCCGAGCAAAGACTCTGTGAGTGCAAAATGTCACTGCCCACCACCTTCCCAGGTGCACCTCACTCCCGCTGCTAGAAACACCAGTGAAGAGCAACTGATGAACGGACTGAACCTCACCAAAGAGTGGGCTCTTAGTATTGCAGGAGAACAGGAAGGAAGGAAAGAAGGAAGGAAGGAAGGAAGGAAGGAAGGAAGGAAGGAAGGAAGGAAGAAAAGTGGGGGGGAGGAGGGAGGGAAGAAGGAAGGAAGAGAGGGAGGGAAGGTTGAGGGGCACTACCACCATAAGTGTATTTAGCCCACTGCCTATTTTTCTAAATAGAGTTTTATTGGAATACAGTTACTAAGCCCATTCATTTTTGTGTTGTCTTTGGTTACTTTTTACAATGTCAGCACCAAGTAGCAGTGACAGAAACTGTATAGCCCTCCCTCTCCCTGCTGCCTAAAATATTTACAACTGGGCCCTTTACAGAAACACCTCCTGCGTCGGAGTCCCCCAGGTCCTGCACCATGAGGTCAGTTTGGGACAACCTGAAATCCAAGGAGAAACCCTACAGGATGAGATTCACCCAATCTAAGTAACGTCTGGCACACCAGCCTTCCAGCAGCCCTCCTCATGCAACTGATGGTGTGGCAGGGAAGACCGGTGGCAAGTAGGGACTCACAGGTCTGATAGTCATGAGTAAAGAAAGGGGAAGCACGGGAAATCTGTCTGCTGGACCCTGAAGCAGAGGAACTGCTTTGTCTAGCGAGGTGGGGAAGGTTCTGGAGCAAGTGCATCTAGCCCAAGCCCCAAAAGAAGAGGGCAAGTAAGCCAAGAAAACAGGAGACCAAGGAAGAGGGGGCAAGGAATAGCACATGCAAAGGCACTGACCTGTGAGATGGAAAAGCAGGACCGAGGACTGAGAGGTGTCAGTGAGTCTGGGAAGGTGAAGGAAGACACAGCTGGTTGATTCCTTGGGGCCACATGATACTTAACACTGGGACTTCAGACCTTATCCCAAGGACAAAGAAAGCTAATGAAAGCTTTTAGGCAAAAAATATATGAACAATTTATGCTTTAAAAATTACTCCCCCCAAAAGATTACTCCAATAGCTGGGTGTGGTGGCACACGCCTGTAATCTCAGCACTCAGAAGGCTGAGGCAGAAGGACCACCATGAGATGGAGGCCAGCCTGGTCTATGAAGTGAATTCAAGGCCATTCTAATCTACATAGTGAGACCCTGACCCAAAAAAACAAAACAAATTTACTCCAGTAAAACTTGGGACTTCATGATCATCCATGGAAACAAAATTGTGCTTTCATAAAGCTGTATTTAAAAAGAAAGTCAATGGCATTTTTACTTTTGGCAGATGATTTAATCTATTCATACCACACAAACATAACACATATTTTTCAAGAGAATTGAGATATAAAATAGAGGGGCTAGGGATTTAGCTCAGCGGCAAAGCGCCTGCCTGGAAAGCGCAAGGTCATAAGTTCGGTTCCCAGTGCTGGAGAAAAACCAAAAAAAAAAAAAAACAAAAAACTGGAGGGTGAATGAATAAATTGTGATATGTCCACCTAGAGATATAAAATAGCACTGTTATGAGACAGCAACCAAGAGACATCAGTTTCATAGGGAGCGTATTATGAAACCATTAATGCCTTCTTTAAGTTTCTATCTAAGCATTGCAGCATTAGGAATCACGCAAGAGGCCAGCCTTTGATAAACAGGAAACACAGCCCTCCACAAAGTAAGGATTGAAAGGAACTGGCTTGCGGAACAGTCTTCAGATGCTGTAGATGGTAGGTCACTCACCTGTGAACGAGAGCTGGAGGGAGCCGGAAGACACAGTGACTCCACCATGGAAAGTCAGCGAGCTCTGCAATCTTTTCTAACTTCAGTTTTCATCACAATAAAGCATTGAGCAGAATTCCAGCTTTTTCGAGAACATTATCTATTTGCCTACAGGTCAATGGCCCAAAGGCCACACGAAGCACAGTTCAGTGACACGTGAGCAAAGGTTGAACAAAGTCAAGGCAATAACCCCAAACCCAGAGTGCACCCAGGGACCCCTCTAGGGTGTCAGCAGGCTCTGGACAGTGCTGAGGAGCCTTGGGAGGAGGGGCAGAGCATAGGGCTCAGCCCATGCCCAGCTCTTCTTTCTGTAAAAGGTACTTAAAAATATACAAGACAGGGATACCTTTAAAACTTCCCCCACGATATACAAGCAGGCCCTTGGGAAATTTTTAGGTTGCAGGCTCATGGTGTTTCTGACCCAGCTCCAATGTTTTGTGAAGACCAAGAGCCTGCAGTAGTTTCTTGTTAAAAATTCTGAGGGCACATGCGACCACTGTGTTCTGATCCAAGCAATGAACAACCTCAGCCTCTGCTCACCTGATCCAGCCACATAGACACAGAAATTAATGATTTTTGTAAAAGTTGAAAGAATCAAAAATTCAAGTGAACACAAAAAGCCTTTTCAGTAGCTTTGTGCTGCCCACACCCCTTCCTCTCTGTTGTAGTTTGGGGTTTTGCAAGGGGAACACTATAATATAGGACACATATTTTATAAGATTATTTATAATAGTCACCCAAAGAGTCATATACAGAGAGCTCAGGAAATTTCTCCACACACTAAAGACCAAAGAATCCAGCTGAGGGCCTGGATCCCACAGTAATGTCCTACATAAGTCCAGCTGAAGACCTAGAGCCCATCACAATGCCCCCACATGAGTCCAGCTGGAGGCCAAGGGCCCATGACTATGTCTCACATAGGCCTGTTTCATGGATCTGTGCTGGGAAGGCCCAAAGGTCAGTGGTAGAAGCTAGAAAGTCTGTGCCAGCAGGATGAAAGATCTGTGCTAGCAGGCTGAGGCATCTGTGCGGGAGCCAAAAAAGCAACGCTCAAAGTAAGAACCAGAGCTCTCCTGAAAAGTACCACAGCCATCCTCAGCAACAGTGAGGTCCTGAGTTCCTCTGATGATCAGGACAGCTGGGTTCCATCGGGGAAGCCAACACAATAAGATTCTCTAGGAGACTGAGCAGTGCACCGTCTTCCCCTCTGGAGCCAGGAAGTGATGCTCAAACTGAGGATCAGAGCTCCCTCAAAGTGAACCAAAGCCATTCTCAGCAATAACGAGGTCCAGCTCTCCTTCGAAGATAAGAACAGCTGAGTTCATCAGGGAAGCCAACATGACAAGGTCCTCTAGGAAAACCAACAGCTCCCAACAGCTTCCCTACAGCTTCCAACCTTCTTCCTCTCCAGTTCTGTCTCTTACGTTGCTGCCAGCAATCCTCAGGTGGGCCTCCCACACCCGGCACCATGCTTGTTCAATTCAGATGAGTGTTACAAGTTGACGACCAGTTGTCAATCCACCTCACTCTCTTTTCCTGTTGTTAAACTTTCCATTTCTATCAAAATGCTCTTGCTTCTTATCTCTGTCCTTGTCTAAGCTAACTCTTTCATCTCACTGTGGCCTTCAACAGTGAATAGCAGCGGCCAATGTTGTTCATGTCCTTGGTGGGCGAGGTTAAAGAGTCTTATTTTTACCACTTTAGTCCATTGGGCTTCTCAGCAGCCCTAAGCACTGCACACTCTCATCATCATTACCATTTTAGGGTTAGGAAAACTGAAGCACAGTGAGATTAAGAAATCCAATTGACACTAGGTGTGGGG